ACTTCAATTTTTTTTTTTTAATTTCGATTTGGATTGTTTTGATTAAGGAATCGAATGATAGAAGTCAATGAAATACCACACATGCTGTTTCTGCTAAATGTCAGAGTTCCTGTCGGTGACCGTGTCTTTTTGTGACCTTTAAAACCCCACTCGACAAAAGGTACAGCTTCATCTATGTTGTACCCACTTGTCCAAGTCACTGTCATCTGCAAAAGGTACAGCAGAATACAGCAACAAAAACTCAGCATAAGCAATGGAATAATGATTAGATGAGCAAAGAAATCATAGAACAGATAAATGTACACACCAAAAAAAAAAATACTTCAGACTACTTACTTCATTCCAAGACTTTCCCTGAGCAAGACGGGGATAGAGTGGTGCCTTAGGATTTTTAAACGATATGGAATTTGATACTGCCCTAAGTTGTGGCTGCAAAAAGAAAATAAAATAAAATGAAGGTTAGATTTTTATGAGAAAGAATTATAAGGGAGAAGATTAACATCACATCACGTACATTTGATAACCCGCCTCCAAACAATGCAAATGAAAAGTCTGCCCGCTGATTTATTAACAGGAGCCGTAGTGAAGCCTTCCCGGTTTTTGCATAGTCGATATTCGAGAAATTCGCAAATTGATACTGAAATAATAGCAAATTGTTCAGAATAGTAAGAACATAAGAAAAATGAAGCTTTTGTTGAAGGTTAGCTAAGTTAACACACCTTTACTGGGGCAGTGCAAATGTGTGGAGCTTGTTCCTTTCGGTTGTTTTCCGTATAACAAATAGATCCACTGATTATCCAACATTCATTTCATTTGGAGCACAAGGAAAATAACCATAAATAAATAATCTGAACAATAAATAGAAAAAGAAAAAATGAAATACCAAGACAGCATGCAACCTAACCAGCAACACTTAACCATATTTAGAAACATTACATAGAATCAAGGATCATTACTTGAACTTTGCGGGGGAAAATACACCAACCCAATCATCATTTGAAGGCTCGTCGTTTTCAATTTGTACATTAACCCATTCTGTGTCCTCACCCTGCAATCAACATATTCTAAACAAAACTTCATTTATCAAGTATATTATAAAGTTAAAAGACTCCCATATACAAGAAAGCTCATAGAGCAACTTAAACAACTTAAATCACTTCTTTCCTAAATTTTCTGACAAAGTTAAGGTTTTGTTAATGCTATTACATAAACTCAACCTAAATCTTTCCTAACCCTGCTCAGCTTTTTCACAACACGACCGATATCATTAACATCGGAATTCAAGAACGTCAAATAATTTAAATCACAGAGCAAGTTAAACAAAAATATAAATAACTTTTTTTTTTTCTAAATTTTCAGACTAGTTTACTTTTTTCTAATGCTATTAGATACACTCAGCCTAAATCTACCCGAACCCTTCTCAGCTTTTTCACAACACGGCTGAAATCATTAACATCGGAGTTCAAGAGCATCGAATAAAACCCAACAAAACTACCTATTTGAGACCAAGATAACAACTTTCGAAAAAATGGTCAAACAAAAAACACAAGAAACAGCAAACTGAAGGTACATACGTTGAACCCAAGAACAGAAGGGGAGGCTTTAATGGAGATCGAATCCTTAAGAGCAAGATAGGCTTTTTCGATCGCAATTCTTGAAAGGGGCTGCTCGCCAAACCCTGTATGTGCTAAAACAGCCACCCCATTGAAGCATAACAACAGATTAAAGAGCAAAAACACCACTCTCATAGAAGAGAAGAGGTTCTTCATTCTTCAATGGAGTGTGCTGAGATTCTGTGCGCGCGAGCGAGCGCGCGAGCACGAGCAGATGAAAGAAAAAGGGAGTGAGTAATTAACTTGGTGTACGAATTTTTTAGGACCT